CTAATTATTCGAGAACGATGCAAATTGCCCACAAACTATATTGCAGACGTGACCTCTAATTTGAAGCCGCTTCGAATAAGCGGTCATAAAGGATTCTCCGTGACGAAGGGATAAATCTTTAAATATTTTTCTAAATTCCTTTTTTTTTCTTACATTTTCTGTATATATAATAAAATACAAAATTAGATATTATACAAAATTATATAAAAAAAAAAAAAAATCTTTTATAAATTCGAAACGGAATCTTAATTTGAAGAAAATTTGACACAGTAGTGTGACTCAACATTATCGGCAAGAGATCATAGAAGTTTTATAAAAAGGACGAATAAAAGTATATCGAATAAATATATATATATATGAATTGCATGCGGAAAAAGAAAAATAGTACACGCATATTCGATGCGAAACATTGCTACGACAGCTGGAGAGGTGGTCAGCACCTTCCTTTCATCCTTACCGCCTTTCTGATTCACTTCACGCGTATTTACACGACTGCCGTGGGGGTTGGGGTGTCAGAGAAAACGGGGGAGAATCGAAGTAGCAACTGTCTGAAGAGAGCACACCAGGTTTGCAGCCTATGAGAGTTATGCTTATACCAATATTATAGGGAGGCGGGCAGCTGACGGAAAACATTAGAAGGAAATAGCCGAAACAGACCCTATGGGAATATTTATCTTTTTTTTTTTTTTTTTTTTTTTTTTTAATAAGGACTACACTAAAGAATCGAAATTGCCTTTTAAAGAACAAAATTTTTAACTAAAGGGATCAGTTCCAAAAATTTACAGAAATTAGTATCATTTTATGGGTATAAAATTTTTATGATGAGATTCGATGAGAAAATGATGGAAATTCCAAGAGTTGCAGTTCAAAAATTAAACAAAAATGGGTCAGATTGAGGTCAAAAAAGGACGGAATATAAAATAGGATGAGGGAATGACATCAATCCTTCGACGGCAGTTACTTGACGATAGTACACTCATGATTGTTTGATCGGCCTCCTGGGTAAAGAGGGTTGCCATCAGCTAGGTCGACAAAGCCAGAAGGACGAAGTGGAGTCAGAGGAATCGTCAAAGAATAAAGATCGGTTGAGTAAAAACGCGACACGAGGTGCGGCACCTTTGACGTTCTCTCTCTCTCTCTTTCTCACTCTTTGTTTGTAGCACGTGTGTCAAAATCTTTCTCTGTTCTCTTCTCCTCACGCATACGCACAACATCAATTAAGAGAGTCAGATCTGCCCTTTTACTCTTTTCCCTGGACAAACATATACTCTTTATCTTTCTCTCATTCTGTTCTCTTAGATCTCGCGCGCAAATTCTCTTCATCTCTGTTTCTTCTTTATTTACTTCTTTTTCAATCTCTTTCTTTTCAGTATCTGACTCTTTTCTCTTTCACACTTGCCATTTTCCCTTTTCTCTCTGTAGGATCTTTTTAGCATCTTTTTCATACACGCACTTTGTTCAATCTACATGTCAATGTACAGCTTCTTTAGAAACAGAAAAATTTCTACTACAAAACAAATACTAGAATTTATTAACTCTTTGAAGAATAGTATATAAGTTTTATAAATATAACTGTAGCAATTTGAAATGAATTAAAAGTCCCTTTCATAAATAAACATTATTCTTCTGTATATATATATGAAATTAAGTGATTATCATAGTATTTGAAATTTACCGCCGACGACAGTTGGTGAACGTATAGCAAAAGAGTTTAATTTGTGATAATGAGCGATTTTCCCACAAAGCGGTTTTTTTTTCTCAACTTCCGGAATGGAATAACAGCTTGCTACTATTTGAGGGGGATAAATCCAATAATTGCATTCTTTTGATTGAAAGAAAAGCGAGATTCCGTTTTAGAGAACTTAAAGTGAGGAAGGCGAAGGTCGGATTTCGATAGGGTAAAAGGGTATATAAAAAAAAGAGAAGAAGAAGAAGAAGAAGAAACGAGGAACCAGTCGACAGCCCAGCGCCGTCAAGTGGCACTTTAATCTTTGAGGAGGAGAGAGGAGGGGGTGGAAGATCCGGACTTCAAAGTTACCTGCAACTTCAACCATCTGGTTGATAAATGTTTCAGCGGCGGTAAAAGCGAAATCTCATCCTCCTTATCCTTTTCGCGATGAAGCAGAAATCACCGATAAATGTTCACCGTTTGATTTTTTTTTATCCTTCACCTTTTCGCCGACAGTAGCTTGTTTTTATCTTCCACCAAGAGAGAAAAAGAGAGACTCTTAAACATTTGCATAACTGCTTTAAAAGAAAGAAAAAAAAAGAGCAGCAAAAAGAATTTATTTTTATTTCTTATCGCTCTAATTGACCAGATAGAAATTTAACTTATGGAATAAAAGCCTTTTAAAAATGATGAAAAAGAAAAATAAAAAACACATTAGTGAAACCTTTTTTTTTTTTTTTGCTCGACACCTGCCGGCAAAAGATGAAGAAAAGACCTTTTCGGCAAATTGTACGGACTACTCTGTTTACAAAGGAAATAAGTCACGCTAATCACTTCTTCTTAATACTCATCATCAAAAGGATTTCGAAACTTTCGAATTTTTTTAGTTTTTCATATATCCAAGAGTTTGCTTTTATTCTGCTTTTTTAACATCTTTCATGAACCCAGACAGTCTACCAAAACAATTGGAAAACGGATTAGAGCAGATTTTATGGGGATCAGACTCGAATGAATAAACTACCCTGGAACCTTCAACCCCAGCGACCTTATAAATGAAAGTAATTCTATTTTTTACACAACGCAGTTTGATATAAATAATCTGTAAACTAAACTTAGTTTGATTATAGTTTATACCAAAAACTGCACTAAAATAAAAGATTGTGAATTTCGAATTGCTGCTAATTTTAAATATCTTCTTCTAAACAGAAACGATTATAAAACCTAGTATAAGTACGTGTCGAACAATTGTTCCTCAATTGCAATAAATTGAGGCAATATGGTGATGGCTGATGAAGGAGAAAGAGGAAAAGAGAAAGAGAGGGTTACAAAGGAAGACGAGGGCCTCGAGAGGTTGTAAAGGGTAGAAATCCATAGAGTGCACTTAACAGTTTACAGGCACTTAGCCAGGCGCACTTCGAATTCGCTTGGATTAGTGAAAGGGGGAGATATATATGACCGGGCGGCTTGGGTGATATGTGCAATGCGTTATAGGAATCAAAGCAAACATACACGGGAGCATAAGAGGTGACTGGTGTTTACTAGCGGGCTAGAAAGGGGGCATCCATCCGTCGCAAACAATAGAGACAATTATTGTGTGCAGGACCTATGGAAATAATGGATCAAACGACAAGGCCATTTTGGTATGTTACTCGTTGTCGTTTCGTCTGTGTCTCACCATAATCGTCCTCTGTCGTCTGCCACAGTAAACCACCACCACCAATCGTATTTATACGTGCAGGGGAAAATTGTCAGAAGTTCCGTCTATATACAATTCGGCAAACTTCAAAGCGTATCATATACTCTATTGTAGGCCCCTATCTTCCTATATTTTGTGTCGACGTTAATCGATTTTCGTGTGTTTTTCTTTCTCTCTATCTTTTTTTTATTATAGCTCTCTCGTATATATATATATATAACCTCTCATCTGCTCTATATATATTTTGCTTTCGAATTAGGCCTCAGACTTTAATTTATAGTACACCGAAATTACTGTTATGGTATAAATTAGAATCCAATCTGTTCTTGATTAATGGCTCTTTGTCGCAGTAATCGTACGTTGGCTCTCTGAATCCCGTGGTTTTGATGTGGTATATAAACGCTGTCACTCATTCACTCGACGTCTGTTATCAAAATTGAAAACAATACAAATTCCACATATATGTCGCTGGCCGATAGAAAAATCAGACCGTTAGTTAAAATTTTCTAATTCGCTATTCGATAATTTTGCAGTTGCATTTTTTGTACCCCTGACGTCCACTTAGGGACTAAAGAGATGCAGCTTCATCATTTATTAATAAAATTGTTGTTTCTACAATTTTTATATCAGTCCTGGATAAAACCATTCTTTTCTAAAACTGTGTTTTGTACACGTCTAATTTGGTACACGTTACTTTTGAAATCAAGTTATGACACCAAGAAAAATTATTAAAGTCTAAAGGTCCGCGATCAACAGTTGGTACAGCTAAAGAGATTGAATCGTGCTAATGTTCAAGACTGGAAATGTAGCTTCTAAAAATGTGATCATCTTCTCGGCTGCGAATTTTTATTAAAACAGACATTCTGTATCTCTTTTAGACGTTTTCCAGCTCATAGCGAGCAAATTAATTCTTGCTGCTCATTATTTGTCAATGATTTCCTGATGTATAATAATTGATAATGAACATTTTTGAAGAATAGAATTTTGTATCTTTAAATTTGCTATCGTCTACTGGCCGGCTATTATAGAAAATTAATTAGGCTATTAGCTAAAAGACGGATTTTTCTATCGGCCTACGATAATTGTGTGAATTTTTCAAGGACAGGATTTCAAGAGCAGAGAAAAAGAGATTTGTGATCAAGGAAGAGTGGCGTCAATTTGGATTATTCCACTAGAATGAAAACAATGATTTCCGCTTTACAAAGAGTCACATAGTGCCTATAATTCAGGGAGTGGTTCGACTCTCTCATCACCCTTCGAGAGAGAAAGAGAGAGAGAGAAAGAATGAAACCGCGCGTGGAACATGTGATTTTCTCACTGTCCTTACCGCACGCATCCCAACCGAGGGATTCCCCAATGGAGTTGAGAGAGAGTAAGCCCGGAGGGAGGTAGATATAGGTGGGGTGGCTTGATGGTTGGGTTCTTGTCCTGTTTGATACCACGTGCTCGGCACGATCAAAGAGTCGAGAGAGAGAGATAGAGACCATACCCCGCGACCTTTCATTTCGATGTCAAAGACTTATCACGCCCATCGCCCTTGTTTTAAACGACCCTATAACAGATAATTAATCACAATTTTCAGACTAATAAATTACACCAAAAAAAAACCAATAAAATTAATTTCTTCTGTTTCAGATTATAATAGTCGAACTACGCTTTCTTGAAAATTTAATACAACTCGGATCAATTAGAAAAAGGATATTGCGGTGAGTGAAACAATTAAAATATTCATTTTTTAAGGGAAAGTGAGAATGGAAATGAAGAGAGATTGGAGTTTATATGCATGGATGAATTTGAAGTGTGAAGATCATTGACAACTAGTAGGGAATGATGGGGTATAAAGAGGAAAGGACTTTTAAGCTTCACGGCGGGCACACGAGACACGGAGATGGTGTCTCTCTCTCTTTCTCTCTTGTGCAAAGTGGACCAATACAAGGGGGTGAAGCAAAGGGTAAGAGGCAACCTCGATCCCGTTTGATACCACGTGCTCTCTACGGCACACGGTTAAAGCGCGCGGGTATATATTCTCCCCCTACTTCCTTTCATTTCGATATCAAAAGGCTGCTGCGCTCCCGGGGTTGCTAAAGCGTTGCTTCTCGACTTTGCAAGTTCCCGCCCTTCACTTCTACTCTTTCTCACTATCTTCCTGTCTTTGTTACACGATCCGTGAACTCTCCTTTTACTTTGTATCGGCGCGAATTAAATTTCATACCATACTCTTAAACTTATGGCTTTCAATTTAAAAAAACCAATCCCTTCAATCTTTAATATATCCCTGATCAGTGATTTTAGAAATCAAAGTTCTGATTGGAATAATTTTTTAGTTTTGCTATAAAGAGTTTGCTCGTTATGATTATATTTGTATAGAATGAGTTTATTGCGACAGGTATATATTGATCGTTTCTTTATAATGATATGAATTCTTAAATTGATTTAATCATTCATGCTGGTTTGAATCGATGCACTTAAGTACTATATGGATACAATCGAGAACATTCAGACACGAAGAAACCTCATTGAGTACAACTATTATTCTTTTGTTGAAAGTCGCCTACAACAGAAAGAGAGAACCCTTATCTGAATATTCACCGATTCTTTTGTATCGCGCGCAGTCTTCATAGCAATCTTTCCTTATATATATATATATATATATATATATATATATATATACGTCTAGACAAAACGTAATAAGAAAAAAAAAATACTTTTTCAAAACCACATCATTATCATTTTAGAAAATTAATATCTATCATTCTGTAAAGTGCTTTGATCTTCTTGTACCTAAGCTATTTGAGTAATGAATTAATGCATGAAGCGCCGAGTTGTTTATGTATCAGATAATCCAAAGCTGACATTAAAAGAGAGGCTCCTACTCTACTACTCACGAAATGATGATTTTGACGCGTCAATATTCTCTAAATTGGTAAAACAAACATTATAGGAAAAATAGGAATTCATAAAATCGAAGTTGTATTGATCCTTTGATGATGTGGGCTTTAGAATTCAATTAATGTAAGAGAAAATTTTCCGAATTATAAAAACAAGATACTTTGGAGTGATAAAATTGTTATTGCTTTTGCAGTGTGGAAAATTGCTGCTAGTGACGCTTTTCCCGTTTTCTCTTTTAAATCACATGCACAACGATTACAGAGTAGTATACGCCTGAAGTTTATGATCAGTAGTAGTCTTGACTTTTTTTTTTTTGCCATACAGCGTTACTGACCGAGCGCAAAAACACTGTGAGAGCAACACAAAGCCAACATCGACCAATGCCGCGTCGGGAGCATAAGGCAAGGATAATGGTATTAAGGCTTAAAGAGACCTTAACCTAACCGTTAGTTTATTGGCGTGAAGGAGTCGCAGAGCGTGTCTACATCAAAGCTGCCGCTTCCGAGTCTCTCTTTCTCTCTCATTCTCCTTTCCCCTCTCACACCTAGAACCATCCTATTGACGGTCCCGTCGTCCTCGTCATCGTCGTCGCTACCACCTCCAATCCCCAATGTACATTGACTATACGGACCTCTTATTGCTTTCACCTCAATTCTCTTCACTCACGATCTTTCCTTCATACTTCGTCCTACGATCTATAGACATCTATTAATATTCCCTCTCTTTCCTCCCCTAAAATTTTGCATCGTGTCAGATTATAGATTCCCCTATTTGACAATAATCTCCTTTTATCAGACCGAAAGTACGTGCCTCCAACAAAATGATTCATGTTTCTTGAGGGTAACAAGATAAGCGTAAAATTTCATTAAATCGAACCCCTTTCTGATGTTAGGTTATATAGCTGAATTTTAGCAACAAAAGAAAAATATGAAATTAATGTAAATAACATTATTATACTCTGATTAATCCATCTTTCATTTGCAATTTCGCGAGTTTATTAAATTTAAATTTAATTTAGTCTAATTAGGCCCAACGTTCAACTAAATCTATGTTTCAAAGCACAGATGAATATTTCAATCTGAGGATGTAAATTTCATCATTGATTGATCAATCACATTCTTACTAATAATGATTTATTGATAAATCAAATTTCTCTCATTATACTATAATTAATTCCTGAATCAAATAAGCTTTACTCTATAAAATTTAGCGAAAATTTTAATTCTAAATCAGTAATCCTAATGAATTAATATATTTTTTTTTTTCATTAATTTAAAGTGTAGGAAAAATTTTTTGAAGATGAATATTCTTAAAAAACTCTAAAATAAATTATCATCTGAACGTTTAATTTTCAAAAATATTTAATGGACCTTGAACGAAATATTTTTTTCAATCTATAAATTATTAAAAATTACTGATGTCAATGTAAAATAAAACAATTATTAAATTAATATATATTTTTTTTTAGATATTTTAAAACAAAAATTCTGTAATAAAATTCCTACTTAAAGAAGTTGTAAAAAAAAATTTTCATTTGAACGTTTTAAACTCATAATATTTAAGTTGAGGAAAAAAAAAATAAATTGTTTCATTTTAACATTCAGAATAATTTTCGGCACATTAATTTTGTAAAGAAACTTTATCAAACGGTTTTTTAAAAAAAATATATATATTTTCTTAATTAATTTAAGAGAGAAACTTAGGGAAAAAAAATTTTCGAGACACACTCTTTGGCCCTACTCGTGACCTGAATTTTGTGGAGATAGGGTTAACTTGTATATATCGATTTGCCACCTAAAAATAAAAACCGTTGCCTGAAACGAGAACTACGATAAAGAATAATACAAAGCCAAAAAAAAAAGTAATGATTTTCTAAATTTTGATTAACAAAATTTATTTAATTAAATCGAATTCTTTACTTTACTGAATTTTTATTTATAGTTTAATTCAATTTTTTATTTCACTGAATCTCGATTTATCTTAATTTTTAGAATACAACGAATTATCATTTGAAATATTCAAATAATGAATAAAATGCGTAAAAAAATAAAATGAAGTTTATCAAAAAAAAAAAAATCTACAATTTTCAACTTTATAACGAATTTTTTCTGACATTTATTGACTTTGATGTTATATAAAAAAAATATTTTAATGATTAAAATTTGTCGTTGATTTATCCACACGGGGATTTTTTTTTTTACCCGGTAATGTCAGGGAGTTTAAACTTGAAACTAAGCGAAACGTGACGTTATTGGGGTTACACTTATAACTTTAATACGCATATATATATACATGAGGGTTGAGTAAAAAGTATTATATATGAAGAGTATATATGAACAAGTCTGCGTATCCATAACCTTTTAATTTTTTATGCTTTTAAAGAAAACTGACGACGGGAACGCTAATTGAAATCCATGCTTGTGCACCCATTAACTATATTTATATATCAATGTGAGATTACGCGTTAGAGCAGAAATGTTATTGAAAATGCGTATTACCTTTGATCAAATGCCGTGCGAGACTTTTTATGTTACACGTGTTTTATAAATTACACACATATACGAGAGTATAGTAAACGCATATATCACTCTTCAAAATTTCGTAGTTTTTTTTTTTTAAAAAGGTATTTTTTAATTATATATTAATTTTATCAATAAGATTTAAGATCTTTTGAAATTTTGTTTTATAACAATTTTGTTAAATGAAAATTCAGTGAAATAAAAAATATTTAAATACGAATTTTAAAATAATATATTAGAAAAATATGAATACCTTTTATGAATTACGGACATTTGTCCAAGAGATGAATATTTGATTTAAATTTTCTATATTATACTATCATTTGATATATATATGTTTCTGAAGAATCATAAATGATTAAGGCTCCCATAATCCGCAATATACATAGTAATCTGATGAATCAATACTAATTTCTTCTTCAAAGAAGCGTTCATGTGCTGTTTGCAAATAATAGACATCAGTTTTCTACAAACGTGCAAATTTAGGGGAGTGACAGACACTATTGATTTAGTGAAATTTTCCCTTGAACGTATAATTAAACAATTCTGCATTCTATCCAAAAGTCTAATTATGTAACAATGCATAACAATAGTATCAATTTTGTTGAAAATTCCAAAGAGAATAATGAAGTATTGTTTCGCAACATTTCTGAAAACAAAGTAATTAATATTTAGTCATTATAAGTACAAAATTAATCTCCTATTTAATTAACAGACATTATATTTAATAAAAAAAAATCTCTTTCAAAATAGAATCAAAATAAGAAAATGGATTTAGAAATTTAAAATCCTAATTCAGAAATAATTTTCTATTAATTAAAAACTTTTTAAATATCCCTCATATTTAGAATTTTAGTATATAATTGAGAGTGAAAAATTAAATTAAAAAAAATAAATAACCCTCGGGAGAATTTCAGACTCATTTTAAATCTAGTTGCAGTAAAATAAATTCACTTTTAAAAGTGAACAAGTTTCTATGAGAAATAGAGAACCGTCGATGAAAAGAAGCCACGAAAGGTAGAAAAAACTAGCTCTCGAGATGAACGTATATATATATAGGTTCGAAAGAAATGAGTTTTACTGTGGAAGGCACGTACAACAGAAATGACTGCGATCGTTTGCTTCAACCATCGTCAGTACAATCAAAAAGAGAATTATAAGTTCTTCGACATCGTCAAGGAAGGAAAAGACACACGAGGGAGGAAAAAGAAGATCTCTATAATACAGAGACGCGTGAAATGTCTTCAAGCAGAAAGCCACAAGTCTGAGAGAGGGGGGGGGAGGGAAGATGGAAACATTTCTCCCCCGTGTAAACGACCCTTTTCGGGGAAGGGGGAGGAGAAAAAGGAAAATTCAACTCAATACACCTACATCCCTGAAAAATTTTTCTACTCAACAAAAATATAATATGAAAAATTGAATGTTTATTATTATTATGTGACTTACCTGCACGATGATCTCTCAAGGCACCGGTTTCCTCTTTCTTCGTGATGCGGCGTTTTTTTTTTTTTTTTTTTTTTTTTTTCTACGAGGGTCCGCCTTTCTCGTGGAGCAAAAGCTCAAAATAGAGGCCCATGCCCGAAGGTGTCAACTCTCACCGAGGCCACGCCGTTGGCACATCGCGATGCCCACTTTCTTGTCCCTTTAAATCCAAGCCGTTTAACAAGCACACACTTCACAAAAGAAAAAAACAATTCTCCAAATGGTAAATTCGTGAAAAACTTTGAAATAAACCCGTGAATTTTGACGCAATTCATACGTTTATTCATTAACACAAAACACCGTCCCCGTCGCCATCAACTCCTAGCCTCGCATACACAAACACACACACACAAATATTACACACAGTTGAGAAACTAGTCACGACGTTTGCGCCTTCTGGCGCTCATTTAACAAACTTTCGTTCAAAGCACAGCCAATCAACAAGCCGCATGCCCTGTGACATCAACACCCTCGAACTTTCAATCTTTAGAACCCTGCACTTATTAATTTTCCCCTAATTTTTCATTTTACACCTTTCTCTTTAAATTTTTTTCACAAAATTCACTTACAATTCTTTTTTTAACTTATCCAATTAATAAAAACTCATATTTTCATATATTAACACTCAATTTCATAAAAAAAAGAGAGCTAATAGTATTTAAATTTTTTTTTAAATTCCCGCCAAAATTGGTTTAAAATTAAAGGTTAACCACGTGATGAGTTGGAAATATTTGTTTTTTTTTTATTTACGTGAACATGGTGATTGTAATACAATGGAAATTATTTAATTAAAAAGGTATTAGATTTAATTAAAGAGTTTGAAATTAAATTAAAGGGATTTAATTAAAGATTTAATTAAAGAATTAACGATGCAAGAAAAAAAGAGATAAGCGTTTAAGTTTTGTCGCACACACCTTGTAAGAAAATAGAGAGTGAGAGGGAAAAAAAAAAAAAAAAAAGTTGTGAAAACCAATGATTATTGTCCAAGTACCATTGGGTACGAAGGCAGCACCTTGTTCCTACTTGTAGCAAATACCCGTTTCTTTGATCCTCGCATCTCTTTGATCTCGCGACACCCCCTCCCCGGACGTCCTCCGCAACCCCCAACCCTTCGCCGGCGTTTCACAAGTAACTCAACTTTTCCTCCCTCTCCTGGGCCACACAAAGTGCATGATGCCGTCTAACAAAACAATTTCAAAGTCTCTTCAATGTGTGCCTTGGAGCATTGTGTGTATTTGCCTCAAATAAAAAGCGAAGTCTATTGCCTTCGCGGCTTCATCGTCCTTTTTTCGTTTTCTTCTTTAACCCACCCCCCCCCCCCTTCCCCCGTATAAGGAGTAGAAAGTATCCTTGAAAACAGAGAAGAGACACTTTAACTGTTGTATGTATATATATATATATATTTTTTTTTTTCTTATATTTCTGGAGCTTCACTTCATTTCGCATTTCACCGAGACTTCTTTCTTCATGCAATCTTCTTTTTCATATTATTTATTTTATATTTCAATTTTAATGAATCTGAAAAAATCTTGATTTTTGGCTTAAAACAAAATTTATTTCTTTTTTTTGCAGCAAAAAAAAAAAAAAATTGAAGAAGAATCGTGTTTTGGTTTTTCAAGTGTGCAATTAGTGGAACGTTAGCTGAATTACGAAGACGAAGAAAGTTCTGGACATTGCGATGTCCAAGAAAGTTAAATTCGTTAACAAAAAGAGCTGGTCCCTTGCAATGAATGGCTTTACCCTCAAGAAAATTGCCCTTCGGGAAAAAAAAATTACTTCGATCTAATGTCTGCTGAATACCAATGAAAATAACGAAAATGGTAAATTTTTTTCTAATTTATTATTTAGATTATTTTAGTTTTAATTTTATTTCCTAAAAATCAAAAAAAAAAAAAAGTAGTTACAATACAGTCGAAAAACGAAAATTTCAATCATATTGCATTGTGAATTTATGTGCTGTCTACTTTAAAAAAAAAAAAAAATCGATTAATTCAAATTTAATTAATACAAATCAATTTATTTTATATAAATTTCCTACAGAATCATACAAAACTTTTTTTTTTTGTTCAATATTGCTGCTGAATAATACAAAAATTTTCAAAATTATCATTTTTTATTATATATAAATAAATTTAATAATTAAAATTAATTGAATTTAATACATCTTTATAAGAAAATTCATTAAAAAATTGAATTTTTTTTCTCAAAAAATAAAAATAAATTGATTTAATTATAAATAATTTATTTAAAATCACAATAGAATGTGACGATTATTTAAATTTCTTTTTTATATACATGGAAAGATAAAAAAAAAAAAAATACAGACATTTTGATCGCTCGACTGGAAAATAAAATTATCTATTAAACAAAAGTATATAGGCGCGTATGTCAGTTCGTTGTAAATGGCCCCTTTGCGAAAATCCAATAAATTATCCTTTGAAGTCAACATCAGATACTTATGCTTTGAACAGAGACCAAAAGTTAAATATAAAATAAAAAATTGAAAACTTCAATTTCACTCGAGTATAAATGTAAAATTTATTATCTATTGTGATTGTTAATATATAATCAGCAAAAAAAAAAAAAAAATGAGATTTGCAATTAATTTTTAATTATTTATTATAGTTAACTGATGTTTTTGAGATTATTTTAATTTTCCATTTCACCATAAGAAGTTAATGATTCAGAAGATAAGGGATGTTGTAGATAAAAACGAACCCTATAGTTTTATATACCCCATTTGATCAAGTACCATATAGAATAAATTTATCTCTCAAAATCAATATTTTTATTACCATAAATATTTTTATTTTAACATTAAAAAAAAAAAAGATTGAAATATAAATAATAATTATTAATTTTAATTACTTTGCTCCTAATAAATTAGAGAAAAAAAAATAAGGATAAGAAAGAATTTAAATAGTTACCAATTTACTTTTTATTTTACAAATATATATATATATATGTACATAAATAGGTAGAATCTTTTTAATTTCACAAAGGATATATCAATTCTCCGCAAATTATATTATTCACAATTTTATTCCATTCAATGGAGGGATAAAATTTTATCGTATCAGGAATACATTGTTTCCACGTTTTATTCCAAGAGGAAACAACCATTTTTGAAATTAATGTTATTGGTTCCTTGTTTGATTTTTTGTGCAAATTTATATTTATACTGCCTGTAATTTAAAAAAAAGTTGTTTACTATAATAATTAATTGTTAATTAGTTAAAAGTTAAAAATTAGTTTTTTTTTATAAACTTTTAAATAATAGAAATATTGAAAACTCACTGCTTACGCTATCAACACGAAAAATCCAATTAACAAAAGTATAAATTGGTATAACTTGTAGATAAAATTTTAGTCTTATTAATGTGCCTCCAAGTCCAATCATTATTAATCGTAGCTGAAAATATTAAAATGTCTGTATTGATATATTAATTTAAAATTAAATTTAATATAATTAAAAATTAAATTTATACAAACCGTTGTAAAAACAGAATAATAAACCCAAGTAGTTGGAATAAGAAAGAGAAGAATCGTAAAAAGTAAAGTTCCCAAAAAAAGTTGATCTGGTTGATATTCACATGAATCAACTCTTTCTCTAAGTGGATTTTTTTTCTTTCCCAAAAATAGACGAAACAATGATGTTAGACCTCTTAGTTGAATATTAAATAATCTGCAATTTTGTAATAAAACTTTATTTTTATTTGCGTTAAAAAAAATAAAATAATTTATAAAAATTTGATACCTTGCTGCATAAACATAAATGCAATATGAATGAAAGCTAAGAAGTGCTAAAAGATCGGCAATTATTGCAATTTGAAAAGTTAAACCCAAACGACCAAATAACAATACAACTTCAAAGGCAAAATCCATCACTGGTTTAGTAATAGTAAGAAATGTCCACCAAAGATGAATATGATATAAAAAAAATTTGCCCAGTACTTCATTAAAACAAGAATTTAATTTCAGTCCAGCTGGTGATCCCATTAACCAGTTAATCAATTGTTTCAATGTCACGACGACTTTCTGAAAAAGAAATAATATTATTTCTTGAATAATCAAGTAGTAAATATTTTTTAACGATAAATCGGAGTTACTAAAAAAAAAAAAAAAAAAAAATTTTAAATAAAAAGCTTATTTTAATTCCTCTTTAAAAACACTTACATCAGCATTAGTCAACATTACTGAAGACGGAGCAACATCCTCAATACTGATTAAAATAAATCTCAACATAAGAATTCCTAAAATCATATCAACGATCATTGCTAAAATATAATTCCCCGTTTTTATCGTAATTCGCTTCTTGTGAATAATTGAATTTAACATCCAATTAAAATTTTGCAACCAACCATTCCAATGTAAACCGAGTGTTGAGTATTTGAAAATTGGCAATAGAAATTTACTCACAGTACAAAGAAACAAAATTGGATAAAACAAAACAAGTGCAAAATTCGTTAATATAAATTCTCGTGTACAATCAATCATTGTTTTTTTTCTAATTTCATTTTGATTCTCTTTTTTCTTCAATAATTGTTGTAATTCAATAAAATGATCTTTCGTCGTTGAACTAACAAAAAGTTCTGATTTAATAAGTGATAATTGATCGTATATAATTATCATAACGTGACAAGTTATTGGAGAAATATTTGTACCGTTAATAAAAATATTTTTTAAACAATAATCATAATTCTGTTGATTATCATCACTTGCAGATTTGACGTACAAATTTATCCAATTTGAATATTTTTTATCGGACCATTCATTATTTACACAAGTTCCAAAATAATATCCTATTATTTCAGTTTTATTTTTTATTTGTAAACTCGTTTTTCTTCCAATTATGTAGAATTTCTTGACATCGTTTATCTCATCATAAACAATTTTGCCGATCATTTGTCCCGGTTTTTCTTTATACAATTGGCTTGGAATGAATATTAATAGTGTCTTCATGGTGAATTATTCTATTATAAAATTATGTGGAAAATTTTCTTATTTATAAAAACCTAACCTCTTTGATTGTTTTGATCTAATTTATTTTATTGTAGACTTAACGATATCACAAAGTTTTAAATAAAAATAATGCATTTTTTCACAAAATTCCATTTAGTAAACATCAGCAGTAATTTGTAAATAATATTTAAACAAATGTTTGAGATTTTTTTCACAATTTGCAGTTGTTTGTATTTGTTTACATATGTCAAATGTCAAAATTTCCGGAAAGACGTAGCGTACACAGCGCTATCTTTCGTATGAAATTTCAAACTAATCTTTCGTCATTTCCGGTATTTTTTAAAAGGAAACATTAAAAACATAAACAAAAGAAAATGTCAATTTAATAAGAGAGTGTTTTTTTTTTAAATAAAATTAATAAATAATAGAGTTTAGAGGAAATATTTTTCATACTATCAAAGAGGTTAAAATTTTCCAAAGGACGACCAACGTTTTTGGAAAAGTCAGTAGGTTACAATCATTTATTATGACATGACAGCAGGAACGCTCGCAGAGAATCACTAGAATGACTAAGCAAATTTATTTAGAAAGCGAAAGATCTAAAGGAAAACTGTGGATTCAGTTGTTTTCTCAAGTTGGAACTTGAGAGTTCTTGTAGTTTATTAAAATTATGAATGTTAAAAGACCTATAAATATGGTGAGTACTTTGAATTCTATGTCCACACATACTTCATTTCATTGTTTTGATTTTGATATTCCTCACTACTACACAAACCCAAAACATATTCTCTTTTATTAAAAACATAAATTCTTTCTGTTATTAAAAACTCTTTGCTTTTCTTCACAAGGCAAAAAAAAATTCCTTGTTATTGGAAATCTGAATTTCTAACCTCAAAATTCAAATATTTGAATGCAATGTTTCTAAATAATTTTTTTTTTATAATTTATAAAAAAAGAACATGATACCCTCGATATATGTATGGAAAATTTTCTTCAGTTGTTTTCATTTTTTATTTCCACATTGAAGAATCATTATTCATTTTTCTATATCATATCTCTTTCTAAGATTATATATTTATTCAGGATCCTCTTTCACCTGGTCCTTGTTTGGATATAAGTGACGATGAACTTGTTTCAATATCAGTTCGAGACTTGAATCGTCAATTAAAACTTCGTGGTTTATCACGTGAGGAAATTGTGCGTATGAAACAACGGCGACGTACATTAAAAAATCGAGGATATGCTGCAAGTTGTCGTATTAAACGAATTGAACAAAAGGACGAATTGGAAACGGAAAAAACTCAGGAATATCGTGATATGGAGACAATGCAAGACGATAACAATAGAATGCGAGAGGAAGTTGAATCATGGCATTCAAAATATTTAGCCTTAAAGAAATTTGCATTACATGAAAAAATTCACATTCCACCTGAATTGGAAACAATATAAATTTATTATTTTAAGGCAAGAGGTAGAAAATTATAGAAAACATATACAAAATAAGGGATATAAAATATTGTATTTACTTTTTTTTTTTTTTTTAAATAAGGATTTTAATTTTTAATCGTATTTTTAAGATTATATGTAATTTACAACCATTAAATGTTGTATATTTGGATAAAAACGTTAAATTATATTTACTACTTGATTAGCAAATATTTGCTTTTTTAAATTGTTCTTTTTAAACAAAAATGATCAATATATAAAATAGAAAAATGGATTTTTAACTGTAATATTTATTGCAAGATATTACGAACAAAAAAAGGAAATTTGAATAACATTTATAATTTTGTACAATATGTCAGCTATTTGCGTTTTCGTGATTTAAAAGAAATATCAATTGACTAACAACATGAACATTAATTGAATTACCCAAGAGTCTATATCGTTGTTTATTGGTAATACTATTTGGAAATGAAAAATCCTCTGGAAAACACATAAGTCTTGACACTTCTTTTGGTGTGAAATAACGTAATTTTAAATCAATTAACAATTTCAATTCCTCTAAAGGCACTTCTCGATAATTCTTTAGTTTTTGAAAATTCTCATTAATTATTTCATCTGAATAGGGACAAAAAATTGAACCAGTTCCCTCTACATAATGTCCATAAGCTTTAGTAAAACAACAAGATCCATGTGAATTATTATTTCTTATATCAAAAATTGAAGAATATTTTTGAAGTATTTTTTCTGAAATTAAATATTTTTCCTCAACAATTTCATCAACAATATGTCGTAATTTATAACAATTTGTTGAATTTAAACATCCATCTTTAATAGCTAATAATCTATGACGACTTTGAGGTAAAATTTTAAGAATATTATCGGGAAGACAATTAATAATTGATGAATCTTTAAAACAGAAATTAAGATCATTTCTTTTTGCTAAAAGATAATATCTTTGTCGTGAATTAGGAACGCCAAATTGACATGGACTTAGTAATAATTCTTTATAATTAAATTTCATTTCAAGGCACTTAACAAGTTCATTTCTCGTATTAGATGATTCAAATCCTTTGACATTCTCCACAATAATATACATTAATGTTTCAATTTGAGGTATTAATTTTAAAATATGTAACAATGATTCAGATCTTTTATCTAAACTATCTTTCTTTAGTCCCACTCTTGTAAATGGCTGACAAGGTGGACTCATGAGAATTGTATCAATATTAAATTTTCTTATTTCATTAATGTTCAATGATTGAATATTCCTGCTGATATTTTTTGTTGTCTTTTGAAAATTGTGCCTGTAAACTTCATTTGCGACGGTATTTACATCTATTGATACAATTACATCTCCTTCGACGTTACTTTCTGAAAAAAAATTTAATTATAATTTATAAAAAGATCTTATTAAAAATATAAAAACATATATTGTCAATATTTTAAAGTTTGGATTGACTTTTTTTAAATTTTTATTTAAACATTAAATTATTTTTTAGAAACTTATCAATTAATTTAAAAAACAAATTGAACTATATATTTAAAATTTAAATAATTATTGTTAATATAAGACTTTTTTAAGAATATTGTTTAAAATTAACATACCATTGAAAGCATAATGCATTCCTCCAATTCCGCTATAAAGTTCGAGTACTCTCATTGTTTTTGAAAATATATACTTTTTTAATTGAATAAATTTTTTATTCTGTACAATATATAAACATTATTCGTCTTTAAGGTTATGTTAGTGACGAAACAAAATAAAGATTGAGGACACGTGAACTTGAAACTGCTTAAGTCAAAATAAATACTAATTTAGAAAAAGTATATTTCAAAATAAATAAATAATTTTCAAATATAAATAAATTAAAATATAAATATAATTAATTAATAAAATAAAATAAAGAAAAATTAAAATTTTGGTATAATAAATGTATTTTCGGTATTGTACACATTTTTTTTTTCTTAAAATGAAGAACAAGCACAATATATATAAAAAGGCACAAAAATTGCAGTTTTTTATTTTTTTATCGGCATATTAAAATAATATTGACGAATTTATTCGTTTATTTACGAAAAATTAATTTTTTAAGCCCACAAAATTATCACACATCCTGTTGTAAAAAAAGATTAGGATAAAATCTCAATGATTCGATTGAATCATCTCGGCATGCTTTTCCATTTTTCTCTGTAACTAATAATCTCTCTCGTGCTAAGGTCACAGATATTCCATTAGATTGAGCTAATTCTTCAGCCGAAATAGATCCTCTATCTTTCAACTGAAAAAATAGAAAATGTTCTTTAGACTATTTTAAAATTAGTTTTTTTCTCTCCATTCGTTGAATTTTCGAATGTAAAAACAAGGAATAATGAAAAAAAAATGTATTTACTAATTCGGCAATAGATTCCACAACTGCTTCATCATCGAGAGATCGAATTTGAAGAACCATAACACCACTGTCAAAAATTCTTAACACGAGTGGTAAATCCAATGGACCAAGTTGTCGACTTGCATTCAATAAATCCTCAGGTGACAATAGTTCTAAACCTCTAGCTCGATTAACTCTACAGTAAACATCCGTTAATGTCATCATACCTCCAACTTCCTAAAATTATATTTTCTATTATAAATCCAAAAAAAAATCAATTTTCTTAGAAAAAACAAAAAAAAAATGCTTTACTTTAATAGGTTCTTCTAAAATATCCGCAAGTTGTCTTGCCAATTGTCTGAAATACTCATTACTACTTCTATAGGCATCTCTTGTTACAGGATCATCGATACCTAAGCTCATGAGGTATGATTTAAATCTCACAGTTTCATCTTCCGTGATATCGCCTTGACGTTCCTGAAATTTTTTCAGATTATGAACGACAATTATTTAATGCGCGATCATTGACAATCACCCTTATTTTTGTTGAGATGGTCTTCGATATGTTCACCATGTCCTTTGCCATTTCCATTAATTTCCTGAGATCTTGAAATGCCATAGAAATACTTTGATCCGTAGCTTTTTGTCTCTCCTGTAAATGTCTTTCAATTCCTATGATTCCAGTGCGAGTTTTTATTTCCGGTAAACGTTTCACACTACTAGAACCGCTCTGTTGCTGTAAATGAATTTAAAAAAAAAGAAAATTTACCACAAATTAACAAGATTTTTTCAGAAAAATTAAAATTATTACAGTTTCAACAATTGGTGGCATTAATTCCCAAGCTCGTCGAGTGAGAGCATCTGATAATTGAACAATGAAATTTGGATCAAGTCCCTCTTTAAATGATAATTTAATATAATTTTTTGCACTATCATCTAGTGGACCCTTTCCTTTCTCTGCAAAAAGATTTAATTCTTTTAATTATACTATGACAGAGACAATTTTGTCAAGGATAAAAAAAAATTTAATTTTACCCACCTGGTCCAGGTTCGGTGAGATGTAGAACAACTTTTTTACTTCTACTAAATGAAAAAGCACCAGGATTTTCCTCCTCAAGGAAAATAATATATTTTAACGATAATGTCAAACGGGAACCTTGATTGTCAACTTCATTGGGTCGGCCCCAAAATATTCTATAATTTGTCAAGACCAAATCACTGGTCACAAAGTGTGTCTATTAACGAAAATGAGAATATTAATAATTTTTTTTAATTAAATTATAATTCAACTTTAATAAATAATTTTTACCTTATTTTCACCATCATAAAGACTCACTCTTCTGTCAGTTCGTAAATGAACTTCATTTGGCAAAAATGTCAATATTGCAAATTCAAATCTATTCATATTGACTATTGAATTTGAAAAATGTATAACTTTATTTCTTAAAATATTTAAAAATCTAAATATTATAATTATTTACATATACATTATCACGAGCTACTTTTCTTATCGTTCCCATAAAACATATACACAGAAACATAACCTCAAAATTAAAAACACTTTGCCGTTACTAAATTTTTTCACTAGATATTTTTTTCAATAATAATAATAATTATTATTATTTAAACAATCTTTAATAAAATAGTAAATTCACTAATTTAATAAATTATAATAAACAGGGAGAATTACTTTGAAAATTTTGACATTTTCATGTAAGCAACAATAAATTATTGTTATTGGCTGACGATAATGATTGGTTGGAAATATTTCCAAGAGGGATTTTTAAAATAGAGAAAATACATTTTTTTGTGAATATATTCTTTTTTTAAGAAAATATTGTTTCAAATAATTTATAAGTATTTATTTTCATTTTATTTTATTTTTTACTTTTTAACATTGTTTTTGTCATTTTTTTATAGCAAAACCAATTTTAAAAATTTAAACAATTAATTTTTATTAACTTTAAAAAAAAATGAATTGTTTATAATAAAACAGAATAAAAATAACACATAATGACATAATAAATAAATTACCAATTTTCTTATAAATTTCTTGTATTTTTCCTATATTTTGGTAATATTTTCTGTAATTTCATATGAAAATTTCCATATTGGCGCCTGTCAATTAAGTTTTTATTCTATGGCCATCGTGCGCCGCGCTTATAGTCCTTTCTCTGCTGAAATTCTAAACGCATTTTGTACGTTTTTTTCATTAAAAAAAAGTTATTTATGATTCCACACAATGTCAAATAGTAATCACAGTGATTCACAAGCAAGTGAGGTCAGTAATTAAATACATTATTTCTATAATATATGCGTTTTATTGAAAAATTGCAAAATTTTAATTCCCAAGCTAACCTCAAAATTACATTGTATCCAATTAAAATACGCACTATGTACTTTCAATTGTTTCATTGTTGTTTACGTACCAGTAAACATTTAATTATAATTTTATTTACTTGTACATTATTTTAATTTTGCAATAATGATAAATTTATTTCATTTATCTTTGATAATTGGAAACTTTGGGAATGCACATGTTATCTAATTTTTAGGAAGAGGAAGGCGAAATAAGAGAACCCAAGGAGACAAAAAAGGTTTCGGAGAGTGAAGAAGAAGGTAATTTCTTGAAATATATATATAATGAATAATATATTATATAATTTTTTTTTTTATAATATATACTGTAAATAAACGCTTTGTGATATTTCTCTAAGTACAAGGTGAAATATGCAACAGTATATATGTAATTGTATAATTTTCCATTTAAAAGAATGGAAATTTTAAATTTATTTTAATTTTAATTTGTTTAATTTAACAATATAATTAGATCTCGTACTTCGATTTGGAGAAGAAAGCAATGAATCAGTTGAGCATAAGAAACGTAAAAGAAGTATTGACGATATTTCTTACAATAAAGATAAAAACTATTTGAATGTTGTGATAAAAAAAGAAAAAGAAGACGAACACCAGCAGGATGTGAAATTAGATAAAGAAAAAGACCATCTGAAAGCTGTCGAAGCGGACTTACAGTTTAAAATGGCAAATGTGAGATTATTATTTTATATTCATATATTTTATGATTAGAAGAAAAGGCTAGAAGTACCAAATCTATGTTTTTAGATCTAAAAATAGTGTAAAAAAAAATTCTTACACTACATGATAAATTATGTCGATTTTATTATTTTTTTTTTAAATATTAAATTGATTCTAATTATTTTCAAATTAGAACTCTTTAAAAATTTTATTAAAATATTTTACAAAAATTTTTTTTTATATATTTAAATTAATAGTATACAATTTTTTTTTAGAAACGTGTAAAATATGAATTTGCAAATAGTGGACAATTTGAACCCATTACAGAAATTGTACCACCTGTTGAAATTGTAAGTATTCTATTAAGAAAATTTTCACATAATATTAGCAGCAATATTGTTTTTGAATTTATTTTTGATATTGTGATACAAAGGAAAACAATTTTCTAAAAAATAAATAAATGCTACTCAATTATAATTATGCAAATAAAAAGCAATATTATAAAAGTTAATTTTTCATCAAGATACTATTAAAAAAATTAATATTTTTATGGCAGAAAATTGAAATATCAGACGATGAAGATTATCAAGAACCGGAAACGACAAAGGAGGACACAACTGTCGATAATGTACCAGAAGAAGAGGATGATGATGAGGAAGAAGAAGAAGAAGAAGAGGAGGAAATAAGTCCATTTCACCATGAAAAAAATATGAAGAAAAACGTATTTTCCACCGAGTAAGTAATTTTATAATTTAATTAGTTTAGATAAATAAGAATCTTTAAATTTTAAACAATTGAAAAAGTTAATTATTCATTAATGTTTTAATGATTCTCTATCATTATTTATATATTACTATAATTAATAAATTACAGAGCCTTAATGAAAGTTCAAGACATATTTGGTATTAATTTTGACAATGAAATTTTTGGAAAATACGGCAAGGAAGAATACGATGAAGAAGAAAGTGATATTAATTTAGGAAATTGTAAAAATGGTGAAAAAACAAAAAGTACAAAAAAACAAACAAAGAAAAAATCACCAAAAAAAATTATTTACGATATTTACGAGCCCAATCAACTAAGACGTGTTTATTCTGTAAATCTTGATAAAGAGGTATTCAACAAATATTTTTTATACTAGAAACATAATTTTTTTACTGATCATTCTTAATTACATATTAATGAATTATTTATTTCTAATATTAGTTATTAGTATCATTAATAATTTAATAAATTTTCGTATAATAATTTATTCACTATTAATCATTTATTAATTTATGTTTTTATAATGTGAAATTAAATTTTTGTTTAAGATTTGTGCAACTGATATTCCGGAACGAATGCAACTTCGTTTAACGCCAGTAACACCAACGGATGTTGAATCAAATGAATTGGATCTCGAATCAAAATGGATATATGAACAAGCATTTTACAAAGAATTAGTATCAATTCAAAACAACTTAACAGAAGAAGAGGAGGAGAGATTAAAAATTAAAATACATAATAGGCATCACACAATTGTAAAAATACGAAATGTCCTTCATTTCATACGTAATCAACAATTTGAAGTTCCTTTTATTGCAACATATAGAAAAGAATTTATTTATCCAGAATTGGATGTTAATGATTTATGGAAAATTTATAAATTCGATGCAAAATGGTGTCAATTACAACAGAGGAAAAAACATTTATTGAAACTTTTTGAAAATATGCTACAATATCAATTAAGTGAAGTTACAAAATTTAAAGGACTATCACCACCAGAAAGTATGAAAATAGTGAAAATTGCCGATATTGAAAAATTAAAAATAATCGATGATAGTGAAGAAATTCACGATATGTATCGTTATTTTAAATTACATTATAGTCATGAAATTCCAGCAATGAAACGTTTTATTCGTCAAAAAGAATATGAGGCATTAAAATTGAAATTACAAAAAAAAGGAGCTAAGGGAAATGATGATATTAATTTATCAGAAATTGATACAACTAAACCAATTGAAATTGAACGTAATGATCCATATTTTATTTGTAAAAAAGCTGGACTTGATTCATTTGTAAAAAAATTTGGTATAACATCAGAACATTTTGCTGAAAATTTACGTGACAGTTATCAACGTTATGAAGTTGAACAAGAACTTTATGATCCAATAACAACGGCAAGTCGATTTTGTGGGAAAAAAATTTCGGCACCAGAAAAAATTCTTAAATCAGCACAATTTATGTTTGCATTGCAATTGGCGTGCGAGCCACTTGTACGTAAAACATTGCGTAATCTTTATATGAAAAAAGCAAAATTAACTGTGCGTGCAACTAAAAAAGGAATACGTGAAATCGATGAAAATCATCCAATTTATACAATGAAATATTTAAAAAATAAACCAGTTAAAGATTTGGTGGGTGATCAATTTTTAAAATTGGTAGTTGCCGAGCAAGATGATTTAATAACAATAACATTCAGCGATATAATTGAGGGTGTTGCATCCAATAATTATATTGATGAGATTAAACAATTTTTGACGAAGCAGGAGAATAATCAAACTGTACTTGCTTGGAATGCATTGAGAATTAGTAGTATGGAAATGGCCCTAACAACAATGGTAAAGAAATTTTTTTCTTATTTTTATTATTATTATTAATATTCAGGGTGGCCACCCAAACGGGAAAAAACCTGAAGAAATTTTACACAGGGAGATTTTTTTCAAACTTTTTTCATCAAGCCGTTTACGAGATATGAATTTTTCAAAATTTAAGAATTTTAATGATTTTTTATTTTTGAATGCTCATAACTTTTTTATTTTAAGTTTTTTTTTTAAATTTGTGTTTTTAACTGAACTTTTCAACAATTTCATGGAAAAATTTATACAAATAAAATTGTATGAAAAAAAAACCAAAGATATTTTTAAAAAATGCAAATAGTACAATAGTGGTCACCCTGATATTATGTTTTTCTATATAGCATTTATTATTTATAAAACTTATTTAATTTAAAAAGTCATGGCAAAAATTGTATATCGATTAGATTTAAATATATTAATTTAATTTTACAGGTAATAATTGACTTGAAAAAAGAGTTGCGAGCAAATTTACTATTTGAAGCTAAGGACTGCGTGATGCGTGAGTGTTGTCAAAAACTTCAAAATTGGCTAAAAGTTGCGCCTTATACAAGCAATATATTTTGTGATGACGAAGAAGATTGGAGTTTATTGAAAGGTATACGGGTGATGGGTTTATCATTTCCACAAGATGAAACACAAATTTCTTACGCATGTATTGTTGCGCAAGATGGTGATTGTACGGATTTTTTGAAATTACCACATTTATTGAAACGACGAAACAGTACAAAAGAGAGTGATCGATTAATGAAAGAAACGGAATTACTTTCAATTCGTAATTTTATAGCAACAAAAAAGCCACATGTCATTGCTATTGCTGGTGAATCACGTGATGCATTAATGATACAATTTGAAATTAATGAAATAATTATGAAATTGCGCAATGAAGAAAATTTTCCAGCAATTAAAGTTGAAATTTGTGATAATGATTTGACAAAAATTTATGCTAATGGCAATCGTGCCATATCAGAATTTCGTGATTATTCATCGCAATTAAAACAGGCAATATCAATTGCACGTCGTTTACAGGATCCACTTATTGAATTTTCACAATTATGTAATACAGATGACGAGATATTGAGCTTAAAATATCATTCACTTCAAGATCAATTGCCACAGGATGAATTATTGGAAAATATTCATACGGAATTTATAAATGTCATTAATCAAATTGGTGTTAATGTTAATATGGTGGCGCAAAAATATTATGCTGAAAATTTATTGCAATTTGTTTGTGGCTTGGGACCAAGGAAGGCTCAAGCATTAATAAAAATTGTACGCAAACAAACTGATCAAAAATTAGAAAATCGTGCACAATTAGTGACAATTTGTAATTTAGAACCAAAGGTATTTATTAATTGTGCTGGTTTTATTAAAATTGATGCTGACAATTCAATTGACAATAAAGGCGCTTACGTTGAAGTATTAGATGGTTCAAGAATACATCCGGAAAGTTATGAATGGGCTAGAAAAATAGCAGTCGATGCTTTAGAATTGGAAGAGGATCCTAATAAAGCGATAATAAAAATTTTACAAACACCTGAAAAATTAAAAGATCTTGATCTTGATTCATTTATTGATTTATTACAGAGACAAGGATATGGGGATAAAAAAATGACAATGTATGATATTTGCGCGGAATTAAGTTGTATGTATCGTGATTTGAGAAGAAATTATGTATCGCCTAATGCGGAACAACTTTTTTATATGTTAACAAAAGAAACGCCTGAGACGTTGCACGTGGGAAGATTGATAGTTGCTAAAGTATTGGGTATAAGTCATAAGAAACCTCAAGGTGAACAAATGGAAAATATGCGACCAGTGAGAAATGATGAAACTGGTTTTTGGCAGTGTCCCTTTTGTTTTAAAAATGATTTTCTCGAATTATCTGAGGTATGGACGCATTTTGATACAACTTGTCCGGGACGTGCGACAGGTGTTAAAATTCGATTAGAAAATGGACTCACTGGTTATATTCATATTAAAAATCTCTCGGATAAAACGGTAACAAATCCACGTGAACGAGTGTGTGCAAATCAACCAATTCATTGTCGTATTATGAGAATTGATGTGGAAAAATTTGGAATTGAATGTACAAGTAGAAGTAAAGATCTTGCTGATAAAGATAATGAATGGAAAGCACCGAAGGATCCATTTTACGACATGGAAGGCGAGGAGAAAGAAAAAAAGCTCGAGGAAGAAGTGAGAAAATCAAAATTACGACAAGCATATATAAAACGAATTATTGGTCATCCATTTTTTAAGAATATTGATTTTGCCGATGCCGAACGTTTAATGAGTGACAAAAATCCAGGTGAAATAATAATAAGACCAAGTAGCAAAGGTCCAAATCATTTAACAATAACATGGAAAATGGCTGATGAAGTTATTCAACATATTGATGTAATTGAAGAAGGTAAAGCAAATGATTTTTTAACAGGCGCAAAATTACGCATTGGCAGCGATGAATTTGAAGATCTTGATGATATTTTTGTGAGACACATTAATCCAATGATTGGTTTTGTCAATGAAATTTTAAGTTTCAAATATTATAAGCCACGTGTCGGTGGCAATAAGGATAGAGCCGATGAAGTTTTAAAAATGCAAAAAAGAGAAAATCCTAATGGCATACCATATATTATTTCAGCAGCACGACAATATCCAGGCAATTTTTTACTCTCATATTTACCGCGCAATCAATGTAGACACGAATATTTTTCCATTATACCTGAGGGTATGAAATTTCGCACCGAAATATTTGTACGATTAAACGATTTACTTCGTTGGTTTAAAGAAAATTTTAAAGAACCAGTACCAACAAATCCACCAATTCCATCACGTGGAACACCACCACCAAGAACACCATATCAATCTACATCAACTGGAATTCGTAATGATGAATTTCCACAAGAAATACCAATGTCACATCGTCCATACGCTAATCAATCAATGTATCCGAATAATCAAATTTATCCACCTAATCGTTCTGATTATCATTCGGACTATTCAAAACGTCCAGAATATATAAATAGACCGGAATATCCACGAATGGATTATCCACAAAATCGATCCGAATATCCACCTAGTCGCGCGGATTATCCACCAAATCGTGTCGAATATCCACCAAATTCAGATTATCACTTACCACCATCGGATTATTCAATGAAATCGAATTATCGTTCCAATTCAGATTATCCATCTAGATCTGATTATCCACCAATTCGTTCCGATTATGGATCACCTCATTCGGATTATCCACATTCGGATTATCCACCATCTCGTTCGGATTATCCTCCATCTCGCGCCGATTATCCACCTAGGCCAGATTATACACCTCCTCGTTTAGATTATCCACCTCGTGCTGATTATCCACCTTCACGTTCAGATTATCCTCCTCCTTCTCGCGTTGATTATCCATCTTCACGTTCAGATTATCTTCCTCCACGTGTTGATTATCCACCAAAATCAAATTATCCATCAAATCAAAGTAGTAATACAAATAAAACACATTATCAATCTAAAACATCATATCCACAAAAACAAATTTATGAGTCTAATGAAATTTCATATCCATCTCAAGAGAAGAATAAAATTTCCGAATACAATGGCAAGGGTTTATTATCACGAAATTCAGAATCACCACCAACTGAAAAGACGTCGTTGACAAAAATTGTTCCTCCCGCTGCTAATTCTTCTGTTAGTTCACCTATATTACCAATAATTTCACCTCTTGTTCCACCACAACCAACAACAACAACAACAACAGATGATGTTATTATTATTTCACATATTGACAAAAATCAAGAGACAATTGGTGAAAAAAAACAATTGAAACCAACAATAAGTGCTGCTATACCTAAACCAAATTTAACATGGAGTCAACAAATTCAAAATAAAGTATTTGATGATACTTATTTTACGAAAACAAAAAAAATTGTAAAACCATATGATAATGGTGTTGGACATGGATTATTAAAAAAATTAGCTAAAGGAAAAATTCAACCAAAAAGAGGGAAAAAGAAACAAAACGATGAATTTGGATCGAGGGAATCATCTTTATCAAAGGATGATTTCTCTAGAGGTAAGATATGTGGAGAATCAATTTTTTTTTCCTCTATTGTGTTTTTGCTCTATATACTTTGGGATGGAATGACTTTGTGGAAAATGGTATTAAATCTCTAGTGATTTTTTTTTTTTTTCAAAATTAGATATTCGATAAATTTAAAGGAACTTGGCAAAAATGTAATTATTATTTAATTTTTATAATTTTACTTAAAATTTTTACAAATGCTGATAAAATGTACTTACTTTCATGATATTCTAAACATGTAACTGACTAATGACAAAAATTCAAAATGGCAGATTTAATATGGAGATTGAAGTTAAAAAAAAGATCACAAAACAAAAAAAAAGAATTTTTGGGTTAGAATATCAATTCAGCAATTCAAATTTTATCAGTCTGTAATTATTTATTTTATTTATTTGTACAAAATTTATTTACATTTCTTTATTTTTATTAATTTTATTTATTATTTTGTTTGTGTAATTTATCGAACAAGTTTCTTTAAGTCTATCATTTAATTACTTTACAATTTCAATATTTTTTTTTAAAATGCAACTATTTTTGCAAGTTCTGGTGGAATTATTAATTTTTTGTTTTCTTTTTGCTATTTAAAAAATTGATTTTAAAAAAGTCAAGGTGATTGTCTACTCAATTTAAGAAACTTGGAAAGACTATTTAGCATTTTGTTTGTGAAAGGACAAACGAGCATGGAAAAAATTTTCATTGAGTCTATGAAAAAACATGATTACGAAAAAATGGCTTTCTATATGTAGAACATTTCTAAAACTCTACAATATTTCTTGTTTAAAATTACAATATTGGAATTTTCAAAATATATTAACAATCTACAAATGAATAAAAGCTTGTTAAAACTTCATGAAATTGTCAAAAGTTTACAATTTCAAGATATTTTCATCGACAAGAAGGAGGAGATTCTTGAAAGAAAAAGAAAAATTAATTGCTAAAATTTGAAAAAATTTCAAATATAAATTTACTTTATTATTTTTTTTTGATTAATTACTAATTTGTTTTAAATTTTAATTATCAACGATTATTTAGTTAAAAAACTATTTTTTTAAAACAAAACTACATTCTAAATTTTTTTTTTTGGAAACAGGTTCATCTCGTGACAAAGATTATAATCCCTTTGCAATTGGATCGTCAAATGACGATCGTCGTTATGATTCACCTCATGGCGATCGAAGTCCCTCGTATCAATCACGAAATTCACGTGAAAGAAGTCCAAAATATGGTTCACGATCATCATGGGACAGAAGTCCAACATATGGTTCAAATAATTCACGTGAACGTAAATCATCATGGGACAGAAGTTCAAATTATGGAAGGAATAGTCGTTCACGTAGCAGAAGTCCATATAATTCACGAGAAGGACGACCATCATGGGATAGAAGTCCAGAATATCAAAATAATAGTCCATCACCTGATAGATCACCGCAATTTGGTTCTGATTATGTGAAAAAGAAAGTTCAAAAAAAATTACCACCACCATTACAAATGCCAATACCAGATGATGAAAATCCATTTGTTAAGGGTTCATCGCGTGATCAAACTAATGGTGCCTCATCACCTACGCCAATGCCAAAAAAATTATTTCCATTTAATCGTGGCCGTGGACGAGGTTTTAAATCATATACAGCAAATTCTCGTGGTCGAGGAGCAAAATATGATATTGTAACGCCATGTGGATTTCCAATGCCAAGGAGACCTTATAATGGCAGTTAATCTTCATAATTTCCCAAAAAAGGATCAATTTTTTTTTTTTTTTTTAAATAATCATTCTTACGTAACGCATGACGTTAGAATTGAAAACATGAATTTGTCGAATGGGAAATGAAACTATCATACAAAATCGACGAAAAGAAAAATTTAATTTATTTTATAATTCTGATAACAATATATAATGTTAAACCGAAGACGTAGGTTTATTGAAGAATATTTCTGATGCCATTGTTGATGGAATTATGTTTACTTTTGTGATAGTAGTCCACCACGTAAGTGTGAATTTTTACATTTTTTTTTCTTTTATATATAAGAAGAAATTTTACTTTATTACAACTGATTTATATTAATCTGCATGTACTTCGTCAAGTAGATTGCAAACAAATTGTAAAATGTATTTTTCGAGGAATTTCCATAATGGTACCACAAATTTTTTTTTTTTTATATAATTCATTTCATTTTTCGTATATCGATTATTGGCATAATAATTTAAAAAAAAAAGAATTCAAGCGGATACAAGCTGATATTTCAGTAATTAACTATTTAATTACATTTAACAAAATTTTGTTATTTTGAATTATTATTTTTTTTTCGAACATTTAGACGTGAATACATTAAATTTCATTAAGGATATATAATAAAAAATAAATACGTCAGCTAATCTGGAATGACAGATTGTATCACGTGTCTTTAAGTCAAAATTAATATAATTAAAATTGATCAAATTAAATTTATTAAGTTTAAATTCATTGAAGTAAAATTGAGATTAATTACATTAACATTATAGGGGAAAAATCAGATAAATTGTCCTTCTTTTTTGGGCTTGTGATTAAAAATTTATTTTCTTTTTGCATAATATTACAATAATATTTAACGTTATAATAACAGTAATTTTATTAATTAACAAAAATAATTATTAAAATCTAACAAAAAAAATTTTTCCCATTTAAAACTAAATTGTACATTTTAATTTTATGACATTCCTAAAAATTATTAAAAAAAACATTAATTATTTTTTTTATATAAAATATTTTAAAGTGACATTATATTTTTTTTTAAATATTTAAATAAGTTTAATATTTAATTTATTTAAACGTGAGTAGTTTATAATTATTATTGTAAGCATATTTGCAAATTATCGTTTCGAATTTTGAAATTACAGATATAATTACTTGAAAATAATTAAAATTTAAGACATTTACATTTGTCTTACAATTAGTTTAATTAATTCGATTAATCAAAAGAAAAAAAAAGAATAAAATTAACAATTGATTTAATTTTAAAAAGAAATTTGCTATAATAAGTATTTGACATTAGAATGTTAAAAATTTGATTAGAGTGGAATGAAAAATTTGACGAATTATATAAAATTTGTGGTCCAGCGTGAAATTGTTACCATTTATTTATTTTTTTATTTTTTAATTACACGTAATTTTCTCATTTATGTGAGATGTGAGTAAAAACATTGCTGCAAGTTAAAAACCTACGTAAAAGAGGCATTGTATGTATATAATGAACATTTGTTTGTAAATATTTAGCACTTCAATCCGAAATTGCTCGAATAATTTTGATAGAAAAGACACTTATTTTCATTTTTTTTTTTACTTATTAAAAATAGACTTTTTAAAGTGAAAAAATTGAACAACGTAAAATTTTGAATCCAAAAAAAAAAAAACACCTCGTTACAGAGGTTTCATTTATTTATTGATTTGTTTAAATTGACAAGTGGTCGTAAATCATTTATGTATTAAAAATTGTTTTCTTTTTTTTATGTGTATTGAATTTTTTTTTTTTTAATTTATTATTGTAACACACGGAGAGAAATCTGCTGCGATTTTTGCTTGGATGAGTAAATTACTTTAATTACATGGCACGACACTTGCATTTTTAGCATAAATTCAAGTATTTATTGTAAAAATAGTTTCTAAGCAAAAAACACAAGTCACGGGTGTTAATTTTGCATGAATTTCACATAAAAACTGCAAAGGGGACATACCATAAAAGTATTAGATCCTCTCTTATAAAATTTGCAAGAATACCATCTGATTTTCAGGTGGAATTTATACAACACAAACAAATATTTTTAAAAAATTTTTAAATAAAATTATTTTAAATTTCGCGGTTAAAAAAACGCATAGTAAAACACGAGCGTGCGCATTGTGCGTTCCGTTCCTCGGAATTACCGGCATACAATGATTGTGTGTGTAAAATGCTGTGTGTATACGGAGGTAAGATTGTGTTGTATAAATTCCACCTGAAAATCAGATGGCATTCTTGCAAATTTTATAAGAGAGGATCTAATAATTTTATGACATGTCCCCTTTGCAGTTTTTATGTGAAATTCATGCAAAATTAACACTCGTGACTTGTGTTTTTTGTTTGATACACTCCATTACATTAAATACATGAATTCATATTTAAATTATTTCAGTCTTAAGCTAAAATTGTATCGAAAAATGACTTATGAAATTAATAAAGACTGCACAAGCAAAAATCGCAGCAGATTTCTATGTAAGTATATTTAATTCCGAAATAGTTTCTAAAAAAATTCGTCTGAAAACTATATATATATATTTTTTTATTATTTATTATATGTCAGTAGATTCCTAACTGACTTTGTAACAACATTTTGTGACCACTTCTCTTTTTTATGCAATTATTTTTTATAACTGATATTGAAAATTGAAATTTTTTAATGTTTAAAATTTATTTTGTAAATTGATTACAAAACTCTTCTTGATATATACATTATAACATTACGAGAAAAAAAAAAATTTGAATTTTTTCCCTTCTATTGATGACAATGATTGTAAGTGAAAATGTGTCTTAAAGAATATTTAACTTTTAGATTATGTTATATATATATATATTACGTAAAATTAAATGAACAATGCAACTAATTTACACCTTTTAGTGTAAGAAAAAAAAGGTGTTGAATATATATGAATTATACATGTATATCTACGTATGTATGTATATGTATAGATATATATTAAATACCAAAATATATGAAAATTATTTTACAATTCACTCCTTAATATTTATAGATATTATTATTATTAGATAATAATTTGATTTATAGAAACAAAATACTTAATTAAAACTTAATTTTACGAGATTAAAATAAAATAATTGTAAAAAAAAAATTTGAAACTTTTTTTTTACAATTATTTTATTTTTATTATTTAAATTTTTTTAAAAAAATAATTTATTGAATTTAAACTATTTATTTAAATTTATTAAATATATATATTTTTTTAAATTAAAATAAAAAATGAAGGGTTTATAATACTATTATAAAGAATGATATATTCGTGCGAAGAATGTAGTTAATTTTAATTAAAGACATTCTTTCGTCAAATATTATAATTTAGACACAGCTGAGAAAGGCTTGTGGAATTAATCTATTAATGGGATTTTAAATAACTTGGGTATTCTGCTCTATATCATGGGTCATTCCATCTATTCAACTGATGGTTCACCATCAGAGTGAAGGAGATATGACCTTGGCATTTAAACACTCTTGAATCGGCCCTTCGAATCTAATTTCAACAATCTCGTTGACACGCCCAAAAAACTTATCTTTCTATATAGTAAAAAATAATTTTGCATATATATAAATAATAATAATAAAAAAAAAAAAATCTATTATAATTTTTCTTTCGATAGAAAAAAACGATCTTTTTTTTAAATGATAGTTTTTTTTTTTATTATTAAAAACAGAAAAAATTTATACAATTTATTTTTAAATTGCGTATTTTTTTTTATACGAAACGTTTTTATTTTAAGAGATGTGACTTTTTTTTTGTGTAATAATTTTAAATTATTTTTTTCTCATTTTTTTTTGCAGATTTGAAGTTTTGGGAAATTCAAGTGACTTTTGTTCAATATTAAATATCGAGTTTTTTATCATCATTTCCGATATTTCTCAAAATGACATAATATCCTTTTCTCAAAAAAAAAAAAAATATTTTTTTTATTACTATGTTTATTATCAATGAAGGATATTTTCCAAATTTATATGAATTCGTTAAAGATTTTTAAATATTTGCATAAATGCAGTTAGGTGTTATTTAATTAGTTTTTTTTTTCAAAATGTAAATTAATTAATTATTAATTATTAATTAATTTATAATTAATTAGAAAATTGTGTAACAGTAAAATTATTAGAATTACATAATTATTTAGATAATAATTTAAAGTGTTTTATACGCTGTGATAATGAGTAAAATTAAAAAGACAATTAATTGAAAATAAAAATTCAATAATATAGACGAAGGCGTGAGAAAGTTTTTTAAAAAATATAGGTATTTGTGAAACAATTTGAACATGACCTTTTCTGAATGCCTTGTGCGTCAAGTACAGAACAAAAACGAATCCTCAGTCTACTCACTTGACAATAAGAGTCATTCGTTCCAATCAGTACATCCTCATTGCAGACCAACATGATTCGCATGGAACCAATTGTTTCACGAATTTACTATTATAACAATTGTATGCGAAGAAGAATAATAATATTAACTGAAATTCAACCATTATTTATATATTTTCCTTAAAAATATTAATATTCTTTAGCAATTGATGGAAATAGTAAATTATTAAATATTGAATTTAATTTATATTAATCAAGAGTCAAGAAAATTATTTATTTCTTTTTTAAATAGTAAGTAAATTTTTTTTCGCCAATTTCGAGAGATTTTTAAAATCGATAAGATATATGTATGGTATTAATGAATTTTTTTTTTTGAATGCAGAGTTTTTTTTTCAAAATTCATAACGAGATGAAGATCGTAATTGAAAAAAAAAGAATGAAGAATGAAGTAAAAGTGTTTAACTAGAAAATATTTAGCGAAAGTGTGATAATGGAAGACAAAAAGGATTTTAAGTATATAATGACTGCAAAAAGTAATTTGTGGCGGTTCGCTTCTTTTGCTCATGAATCACGTTAGCTTTCTCATAATTATGTGGCTGACATTGTTTTGAAACAGAATACCTTGAAATACTAGGAGGAATGCTTGAGATGTTATTATTCCTGTTTCAATTCCTGGGCAGAATAAATTGTAACATCATGAATATCATTGATAAAGTAATTATAAGGTATGTATAAGTCAAAGCATGTAAAAGAAAAAAATTTGCATTCGGAGGAATGTGCGTATTACGATTTTATGTTGCATTTCAAAAGAATTCAAATTATTCATCAGTAATACATTATTGATTATTTAGAACACGATTCATTTTTTACACTGTTTTTTTTTTTTTTTTGTAAAGTTTTTTTCTTGATGGAAATTCTTTTTCTTATACTAATTTTTATTTTACTATAAATTTATATATTTTTTTAAAAATTTATATTGTAATTATACTATTTTTAATTTTTTTATTGTAAGTTTTTTTTTTAATAATTTTTACTGAAAAAATATTTATATTGTAAATATATATATTTTTTTAATAACATTGACATCGACTTGTCAATTATTCGTTATCTATTAGTTATTTTTAGCCAGTTTATAAAGAAAGAAAAATACTTTTAAATAATTTATTTTTTATTTTTATGAAAAAATAATTTTTCTTGCAAATTCAAATTTTTAAATATTTTGTTACTTGAACATTTTTTTTTTATTTAAGTTTATTAATTATTTTATTTTATATAATTAATAATTGCATTAAATTTTTGTAAGAATATAATTTTTTGTACATGCAAAAATGGGTCTCTTTTTTTTTTAGACGGAAAAAAAAACAAAAGGGATTATTTTTTGTCCCTGTGAATCGACGCCACTGTCAGGACGCTGTCAGTTTGACATTTCAGATTTCTCCCTATATCCTCCACAAGCGTATAAATTTAGGTGAATGTTTTCGGAGCACCCTGCATATATGTATACATATATAGGTATATAGATGCAGTTTCATTTCAGCTCATGCGAAATATATCCTTCTCTCCTTCGCATCAGGCCTTCAAAAAATCTTCATCCACTCGGCTCCTAACTTATATTCAATGTTTTCATTCTGCAACAAAAAATACAGAGATACGAAGAAAGAACAACACACGTGTTTCACAACACGTGTTTCAGCTATAAAGAGGGATTATACCTTCAAAAATTCTGCATTGTTGTGTGAATTTCAAAAAATATTATTTACACTAACAGATAGAGAAAAAAAATTCCTTTTTTCACGGAAACAAAACAATAAATCGGATTTGGAGGTTAGTATTACATATTTATTTTTTAAATCTAACATTTGATTTAATCGAATAATTAATATTATTTTAAATTTCTAATTTAAATTTAAAAAAAAAAGTTAAATAAAAATTTTTAATTGATTAAATTAGGGTTTTAATTAATAATTAAAAATTGCCTTTCAATTTTTTTTTCAATGTGAAAAACAATATATATATATATATATATTAAACATATCTATTTATAAAATATTAATTTCTTTAAAATAATTCAATACATTTAAAAAAAAAAATTTTTTTTATTTGAAAATTCGAATTTTTTTTTTTATGAGCGTAGAATTATCTAGGCACGTCCCTGACAGGGAGGATGCGCGCGCATACAAAAGAGGGCGCGATTCAATGCGCATGGGAGGGGCGCATGGTAACTTAGCAACGGCAACACCGCGCGCAGCGTCGCCGGTTTTCATATTGAAAAAGCCGGCTTCATGAAACTCGTAGAACGCGCAGAACGACGTTAGCTTTCGTCGTGTACAGTATTGTGTTATTGTTCCTAGTTTGTAGAAATCATTTAAAATCTTTTTATTTCCTCTCTTAGTCTTTCATCTGTTTCAAAAAAGAAGAAAATAAATTCGCGTGATAGTTTTTAACCTTTTGGTTTTTTGCAAAACAATCGGTGAAATAACGTTTTAATAAGAAACGAATTTTTCTTAATCGGCGCTTTTTCGTTTTTGTATCAGTCACAAAGTCCTTACGCAAGGAGCAAAAGAAAGTTTTTGAAATATGGCCGAGGATAAGAATGAAACGAGTCCTAACGCAGGGGGCGAGCAACCCGCGCAGGAAATAACTCCGCCTGCCAAGGACGAATCGAAGGAAATCGTGAAAGACGCAACAAAGAAAGTTGAGGAAAATGGCGAAGGTGAAAAGCCAAATGAGAATGGAGAGGAAAAATCAACACCCGAACCCAAGGACATGAAGGCCATCGTACTCAACGGATTTGGCGGACTTAAGAGCGTTAAGGTCCTCAAGAAGCCTGAGCCGACCCTGGCCGAGGGAGAGGTCCTCATACGAGTCAAGGCATGGTGAGTACACACGGAAATTCATTGTTCTTGTCGCGCTCGACTTCTTGCATCCTGCCCAGAGGTCCAGGTGCTCAATATTAAGCCTCACTTGGCAAAATAACGCCCTTGTGCTTCATTTTTTTTTTTTTGACACTAAGCTTTTTTCCCTCAAACAATAGCTAATCTTTAACAATTAACGTTTAAATGTAATTGCCGTATACAAATGATTGCAATTCCGTTTTGTCATTGTTTTTTTTAGCTTTCTATCGAGTTTTTGACGCTTTTCAAGTTGTTGAAAGTTTTAGGGTTGGGGTGGGGGGGAGGAGAGAATTATATTTCCATTACAAACGTCACTTAACCTCGAAAAATATAATTTAAATTGTAAAATTCCTTTTTTGTTTGGTAGAAATTAACTGTCGTTTCAAATAAATTTAAAAATTAAAAAAAATTTATTTTCTAACAGGAAAAATTAGTTAGGCTTTAAATCTTAATCATAGTTTCTTTGTTTGTCGGAATACAATACTTTAATTATCAAGCATAAATAGAATTGACTGGTTTTGTTTGTAAATGTGTAGAGTAATTATTATTTTTTCTTTCTCTTGAGGACAAGCTGCTTAGTGAGCCTTAATTTCAGTTTCAATGCTTATAATAGAAACCAAGCTTCTCTCAAGTTTTATTGTTAGGATGCCCCAAGCTTGTTATAACTCGTTTTTAGTTGTTTGAAACATTTCATAGAAAATTATATTTACATATGTAATTATTTATATACATATAATTTCGTGGATAAATTTATCTAAATTGCAATTAGTTGAATATTCTAATGCCTAAATAATAGTTATTTTATTAAAAATTCATTTTATTCTTTACTTTTAGGTTATGTTTTGTCATTTTGACAGAAATGTTAATTAATTTCCATATTGTCTAGTTTTTCATATTTGCTACTAAGAATCAATCAAATTAGTTTTATTTTTTATTTTTAATTTACGATCATTTTTTAATATTAATTATTCACTAAATCCTGAGTTCTTGAAAAAAAAAGAAAATATTTACATAATAGTAAAATTTAGTTAATTTAGATTATAAAAGTTTAGTAATAAAGTGATATTAAATTTTTTTGTTTCAATAAAACAACAATTTGAATTGTAAGAATCAGTAAAATGAACATTTTTAAAGTAATACGTCCTGTGAAGCATTTTCGCCCTTTTGGCGGCGCGTATGATCACCGGATGTACTCATTTGACATATACGTGTATACATGTGTTTTCAGTCTTTGAAATTTAGAGCAGGAAATCTTTTTAAAAAAACGGAAATGGAAAACTAAAAAATTCATTTTTATCAAATAATTAGGTTTTGATATTTTTAATTTTTTGTTGCTGTTTTTTTTTTCTGTAGAATTTTAAAGAGATGAGTCACAACGAATATAAATATGTTAATTAATTCGATTCATTGATATGAAGAACAACGGAAAGTTGTTGCCCCTAAAGTTAAAAAATATTAAATAATAATATTCATCGGGAATTTATGGGTCAGGAAATAAAATTCAATTTAAAATATTTGATATATAGTGCAACTTAAATCTCGGAAAAAAATATAAATATGAAAATTTATTGAAGTTTATAGGAAATTTTTCCTCCTCGACAATATTATGTATCATATATATATATATATATATAATCTTTGCAATCTTTGTTGGCATATCAACCACAAGTAGAACGTGATATTCAACTTTCCTCACTTTCTCTGTGGCTTTCGTACATTTTATCTCAGTTTACATTTTATTTTTTATCTAGGTAAACAAATATCTGCGCAATTGACCAATACATTGTGTGGCTTTTATTTTTCTTTTGCATCTACTTGAGCCGTTAAATGTCCGTATCGACTTCTTGTGTTTAAATTCTAAAATGTTTTTTCTTTTTTTTTTTTAAATTACTCCAATTTTATTTTTTTGAGTAATAAATTTCAATTTTCCATTTAAAAAAATAAAATAAAATAAAGTGATTAATTATTAATAATTATGTCAATAAATTAAAAAGATTTCTTTATTTAACGGAACTAGCTCATTATTTTTGTTTACTCGTTTACGTATATTTTTTTTTTTTTTTTTTGTATTGAATTATAAGAATGAAAATGAAGAAACTGATATTAAGGTCTACTTGTGTAGAGGGTACTCTAAATGATAAACTTTTAAACATTGATAAACTCGAAAGTGATTCTTGTGTCAATCAACGGATACATAAATAGCAGACATTGTAGAAACGTCGCAATTATTCAATGAAACTAGTGCCTCTACTTTATAATATATATATATATATATATGAAGGCGAAGGCGTTATTCATTTTCAATTGGATGCAAATTAAACTTGAATACCACACTTTTTATTATGTCTCTTGGTGCTTTTGACTCGTTGGAGATAATACAGGATTTAAATATATAATTAAAAATCCTAAGAAATTTTTTCACTATATGACACTTGTTTTTCCATGACAATTAATTTGAATATAGCGAATTATTTATCGAAAGAATATTTTTTTAATATGCGATCTTATATATTATTATTCCAACTATATATAATAATAATAATAATAATAATAATATATTCTATGAAAATAAAAAATTTATTTTTGAAAAATGGGTTTCGATGAGAAAATATATTAGTGACAGGTTATGGGAACTCTAGGAAATCAGGTTTTTGAAAGAAAAGACGAGATGCTGCATATGTATAAAGGTCCTATCAAGCTGGTTCAATTATAAAGCACAGACTTTTTTTTTTTTTTTTTTTTGAAAGATCGTCTTGAGATTCGTATCTTTCTTGATGAGGGCAAGGCGTAGTAAACGATAGAATCGCTTCTTCGACCACGGGAATCCTTGAAGGTCACGGTGACTCTTGAATCATTATTATCCTGATATTCTTTGATCATACTTTAGGCTCTCAATATATCGTCAGCCAGAAGCTCTTGTTTATTTACATATTTTCTTATCTATTTTGTTTTACATTTCTCGTATCTTCTTCTCACTTGTTTCTATATATATGTGTGTGTGTGTGTGTTTATTTCTTTTATTTATAAAATACATATATATATACTTCGATTTCTCGCCATTTCCAGAATTATTTAGTTTTGAGCTCTGGAAAAGATTTGCAATTCGTTGTATTTAACGATTTTTTTTCGTTTTGTTTCGAATAAAAAAAAAAAAATTTTTTCTCTTTGAAATTGGAATTTTTGATTCTTTTCTTTATAATAGATTTTGTTATTTATATTTCTTTTATTGTTGTATATGTTTCTTTTTCACGAGGGGTTTATATGTATAATTATTATTTTCAATTAATATTGGTAATTAAGTATATAGATATGGGGGGAATATATTTTTTTTTTTTTTTGTGGATGAAATTTATTATTCCAATTGTTTGTACGTGATTGAGGCAAAGGGAGAGTAATACACAAAGCTTTTCACCAAAGGAGCGATATATAGGAGTGACCGTCAAAGACTTGAGGGTCTTTTCACGCGTGACTCACGATTCATAAAAGTCATTGGCATTGATGAGAAAATAGCCTTCATAGAAAGATATAATGTACTCATGCTGGCTGGAGTCATTTTGCTGCACAATTTGTAAGAATGCACGCAGAGCAACACACAAGTGAATCTTTTTTTTTTTTTTTTTTTTTTTTTTTTAAAATGGCTGTCTCATGTTCATCTTCTTTTGAAATAGAATCACGTTTCACTAAATTTTCAAGTTAAATATGTGCATATCTACGGACCGATTGCATTTTTTTTTTTATATAAAATATTTTTCGAATGACATTTTAAAAATGAAAAGAATATATTTTTTTTCATTATAATAATTTTTCTTTTAAGGAAAAAATTATTTTCTAAAATGAGTAATTTTTATCTTCTTTGGCGCACTAAATTTGGAATTGTATAGAGGAATTATAATTGTTATCATCATTGATGGAAAAATTTGTTTGTCTCGTGAGAGTACACTTGTTCTCTTTTTTTTTCCTTCTTCTTCTTCTTCTTCTTCTTCTTTTTATTCTCTTTCCCTCTGTCTTTTTGTTGTTTTCGTTTAACGATACAAAAATTGATCTCTCGCTGGCAGTTAAATTACATGCTCTCCTTGTATTCTGCGGGCATCGCAGTAGACTTTGAGAAAGCGAATTTTATTCTTTTCTTTTATGCCACTGCGCTTGGCTATATATATATGACTCAGATTTTATTCCTTTTGATATATATATACTTTTGCGTGAATTCACCAATCTTTGGTTAAAATATAATATATGTTTCCAAAATTCTGTGTGTGTAAAAATGCGATATTATTTCTCTTTCTAAATTCATCGGAATGAAATTTTAACGGAACTCGCGACCCTCACGCAGTTATACAAATATATACATTTGTTTTATAAAAGACTTATTTTCCATTTGGTAAACTAAAAATATCCGGTACACGTGCTGTTTTAAGCGAATAAAATATATTTTTATTGCACAAAATTACAGGAAACTCATGTTTTTAAAAAAAAAAATTTTTCAATAAATTCTTTATATAATGCTGATGATAATTATTATTTTATAACAATGGAAATTCGATATTTGGAAAATATTCAAGCGTTTTGAATACTCGTGTGAAAATTGAAATTTCAATCATATATATTTGGCTAATCGAACGATAAAAAGATAAAAAGAGAAAGAGAGAGAGAAATAAAATGAATGATTAAAATTGCTTCTGAAAAAAAAAATGCGCAATATATTCAATCGAATTTTTAGTGAATGGACTTCTTTAATAATTTCCTCATAAATTTGGTGCGCTAATTAGTCCGATAACTCATGATGAGGCGAAAACAATGGCGTCTCTCTTGAAGCAGACTGCTTTCAGGAATATTCCCATAACCTCCGGCCATACACATAAATCACAAAAGTAGTGCACTAGGTACATTTTCATAGTATTGCCGCACCATTTACTAAAAAAAAATAAATAAAAAAAAAATATTTATATCTATTTCTATTATCGCAATTTCTCTTCGATTCGCAA